ATATAAAGAAACCCTTTCAATACATGTCACTAGCTTTTACATTTAAATCATTTTTACTTTAGTCTTTTTGTATGATTTTTTTTTAACAGTCCTTCTTCAGAGAAATGATGTGTATGTTGGTAAAGCCCAAATAATTTAGCATATTTCCTTTTATAATCACCAAAGGGGAACTTATTGAAAAATATGAAATAACATAAAGGCAGACCGCTATCTCTGTCCCTAGTAGTGAGGGCTTTCTCAGCCTTACCTTAGGAGAGTATAGCTATGCTTATAAGTCAACACTTGGCCTACTCCTCTACTTGGAAATATCATCACCCAAATGAGGATATGAACTTCACTGTGGGCTTCACACATAACATGCCAAACACAAACCAGTGTGAGCTTTGAAAGGTTCAAGCATGCACATTAGTCATCTTTATTTACAAACACTAATGTTGAGAAAAGTATATCGTTTTACCTTAAATTAGAAATTAGTCTTGAAAATATAAACATGATTCACATGCTCAATTTACTTCATCATTACTGAGTTTTAATGATGTCATCTTTTAGTAAAAGTAAAAAGTTATGAAGGTTTTTCTGAAAGATATTTCACCATGGCAGAAACAAAAAAGTAACCTTCTTAGTCATTAGTGATCTTCCTAACCTTTTTTGACAGGATGTAAGTTTTAAATTGTCTAGGCACAGCCAATTAGGTGTGAAATGGCTTAGTATGTGGACATCGAGTATATATGCGGGTAAGAGGGCAGACAAAAGCCATCTGTTACAAAGGGTCCCTGCTTATTGTCTGTTCCATGAGGAGTCTGCCAAACTATCTTCATCATTTATTTGATCAGTGGTCAAACTTAGACAATTAGAAAATTACAAAATTAGACTCGAAAGTGATTAGAAAATGATCAAAATCCACTTTCTAGTAAGTATTGACGACAATCAATACACTGTAGGCCTGGGGCACATGCTGTTGGTGTTCCACTCTGCTTCCCAGTCCTTTCCTTCTAGACACACACCTTCACCTCCAACAGCCAGGAACTGGAACTTTGAACCCCTCTTAGCCAGGGGCCACTCTTCCTGCACATGGCCCACGCCAGGTGACAATGGAGTTTCCTTACCTGGCACTCAGACTGCTTGGAAGGGGTAACTGCGAGCAAAGTGTGGTATCTATACCCTCGCAGGTGGCATGAAGGTCAAGTTGCCCCGGTGGTTACTTGATTGTCAAATTGGTTACACAGTTTATTAGTTTTCTTCTTTCCTACCTCACTTTTCTTCCCTCCTGTCATCTTTAAAACAAACCAGAAAACTTCCCTCCCCATCTATAAGCCTACTTTTGGGAGAAGAGAAAGGAGGACAAGAAGATTGAAAGATGGGCCCAACATGGACACTCTGTGTAAGGATGTGTCTAAAAGGGCAAATACTCTAAGCAAAAACACTAAGAGACAAAAAGGACAAAGTTACACTGTCAGTGGAGATGTGCCAGCTCAGGTAAAGACAACAACCTGGAATACACACACACACACACACACACACACACACACACACACACACACACCATACATACATAATTTCAGACAGGGTCTAGCTATGTCGCTTAGCTGGCCTTTCACTTGTGCGCCTCCTGCCTCAGCCTCCAGAATCCCGAGATAACAGGATTACTCCATCATGCCTGGCAGAGAATCTGGAATTTTTAAGGTTCTGTGTACTGACAGAATGCTGCTCTTGGTCCTCCCTAGACCCTACCATCCTTGCCAAGGAAAGCTACAAGACTCCCCAGCAGTCATGTAGGTTAAGAAGCTACCTTGCTTCCACTGTCAAATGAAGTGTGTATGAAAATGCATACGGAAACCTGATACCGCAACTCAAGCGGGAGGGCAATGCAAGTTGCTCAAGGTTGAAGTGGGGAGAGGAGAGGGATGTGGGAGAGGATGGGTAGATTAACCCAAACTGAGGATGAATGCAGCCTTGTGGGAGAGGGGGCTTATGGGAAAGGGTGACATCTAAATTTCAACAAGATCTCATTTCCCAAAATAGACTAGAAAAAAAGTAGCAGGCAGACCAGCTCGGTTATCAGTTTAGTAGGACCCCGTGAGCAATGGTTAGCTGGGATACCAGTAATAAGTGTGCATTGGTTCTGAATATGCTGGTTAAATGTTTCTACAGAAACAGCCAACTTCAGAGTCTGAAATAAAATTACAGACTCATTGTACAGGAAGCCAGACATAAGGCAGGCGGTGATACCCACTAATCCTGTTCTTTTTTAAATTACATTTATTTATTATGTGAGTGCCATGGTGCATGTATGGACATACATATGGGATCAGCAGATAACTTGCAGGAGTTGGTTTTCTCCTTCTACTATGTAGATCAAATTCAGCTTTTCAGGCTTGGTAGTAAGTGTGTTTCTCTGCTGAGCCATCTCACCTGCCTCGAATCCTGTTTTTTCAAGCTTCTTTGAGTAGCTTCACCTCCAACCTAAAACTGCTTTCTAGCTGACTGAGGCAAGTAGGGCTCCACACTTGTGTATTTATATGCAGAGGGAGAGGCTGGCTTTGGGAGGCTATGTATGCGGCAGGTGTCTTCCTCACCAGAGCATCACAGCCCCTTTAGTTCACTGGCTCAACATTCTTTACATTTGCCCACCTCTTACTTAATCATTTCCAAGGGAGAATGAGTTCCCAGGACTGGCTGAAGATTCAGCAGAACCTGGCCTAGGAGTGGGATGTGTTCTCCCCTGGTCACATGTGAAAGAAGAATGGCCATCAAAAGAGGGAAACAGATTCCTAATGAAAAGGGGACGGCAATGGAGACTGAATAGTCAAGACTGGGATCAATGACATGGAGGGAAGAGCGCACAGAGTTTCCCAATAGGTGGGCTACTTCAGAAATCAAAACATTAGGCAGATCTTACAATCTGCCCTTCGATAGTTGGGTAGAAAAGGTGAGATAGGCAAGACTGGGTGGGTGAAATAGCAAGTTTGAGAAGGATAATCATGGCTTCTGTTTTCCCATTTCACCAAGTTAATTTGAGGATGCTCATCTGTCAATGCAAAAACAATCAAGTTAGTAGACAGAGTTTTAGGGACAGGCCATAACTGAAAACATCAGAAATCATAAATATATACGTTTTTAAAAGCAACTGATAGAGGATGAAATTAATAGAAATACAGAAAGGCAGACTAGATGCAAGCTAGGATTTAGAGGTAAGTGCTCAAGACACATTAAGTAGCTAGAAGATCCAAAAGCAATCTCCATTGTCACATGGCAGTGGACTGGGAGGCACTACAAATTGACAATATCCTACCTAAACAGTGGTTCTCAACCTTCCTAATGCTGCAACCCTTCAATACCGTTCTTCATGTTGTGGTGACTCCAACCATAAATGATTTTCACTGCTACCTCATAATTGTAACCTTGCTACTATTATGAATGGTAATATAAGTATGTGTGTTTCTGATGGTCTTAGGCAACCCCTGTGAAAGGGTCATTTGACCCCAAATGGAGTCATGACCCACAAGTTGAGGACCACTGGCCTAAACAGAGGGAGGGCTATATTGCTCCTCTTAACTTGAAAAGGGCAGGGTAGAAGCATATGGTATCCTTTTTGAATACAGTACAAATTGAGACATATAAAAAAATAAATCCAAAGATGAATTAGAGGGGAGTGGTTGCATGGCTCCTGGAGTGGATGCTGAGCCATGCAAGTGAGGCTCATCTGCTTGTGGGTGGAGGACACACAGGGGCATTTCCAACGGCTGCATTCTCCATGTGGTATTGGATAATGTGCTGAAGCACATGATCCTGGTTAAGGGGTAGATACACAAATTCAAGCCACCAGAGTAGGGCATCCTTAGGAGAATCCCAGGGTACCTGTCTCCTCAATATGGTATGAGTAGGCTCTGAAAAGGTTTCATTATATGATGCTAAACCTTAGCACCTTATATCCTGAGGAAAAGCACCTGGAAGGACAGTAAAAACAGTAACTAAGGCATCCGAACAAAGACACTCTAATAGGAAGCGTATTTCCTGGAGCCATACAGTTGTTGGGTGAAAATCAGAGGGCTGGAAGTGGGCCACCTCTCTGTGAGTTAGTTAATTGGCCATAAAAGCCCCAAGGACCTATAAACTGTCACCACTATTGCTAGTTGATGATTGCATGAGACTAGACAGTAAGACTACTGCAGGAACACTGCAGTCCATGGAGAAAGGAGGCTGGGACCGAGCTGGAAGCGCTCACCCTGGCCAGCACAGAAGCAGCTGGAGAAGTGCGTGTGCTGCCTGAACAGTACTGAAGTAACAGCCATGCCCACTGGTAACAGTAACACCACTTCTGAAAAAAAAAAAAAATACCAGCTCCATGTACAGGGCATTTACTCTGTCCGAATACTTTTCTTTATTCAACTCCATCATTTACCAGTCTCCAAGAGTCCTTTATGTACCAAATTAAATCTCCTCCTACTCAAACAGTAGGTATAGCAACAGTAATAATTTCCAGAAACTTTGTTGTGTGAAATGAATGCATGCGGTAGCTGACAATACATCCATGTTGCTGAAGTAACCCAGGCCCACTTTCCCAATTTTAACAGAGGTACCACTATTCTTAGAACTAGGAACAAATAGCCAATGGACTTTACCAATCACTAATAACATTATTATGACTCAGGAACTAAGTAAATTACAGCTATTTAAAATGATTAATATTTTAAAAACACAGGTTTTGAAAGTCCCCTAATAAATTTTAGTAAATGTTGCCTACACTATCAAAACACAGAAGACATTAAATTTTAATGTGATATAAAAGTAGCTTGTAAACTGGACCGATATTTCATTGATGTGACTCAAGAAAGGTGCTGAGTTAGAGAGCTGATGAAGCCCAACATCTGATTGTTTCAGCCTCAATTAATTTAAAAATCTTCACAATGTGGACTTTTATTGTCGATATAATAAGCTTCTTGAAAATCATGAATATAAAGGAATAGAGGCAAAAGATCAAGACATCTGAACCAAAAAGATTAGATCAAAACATTTATTTATTTATTTATTTTGTTATAAAAACAAAAATAAATCCAAGCAGGTAATGAAATAAACATAGTCTTTAAGTATCCCATCCTTGTTTTCCTGTCCTAGAATTTAGTACACAGTCCATGTTTAAGGTTCTTGAAACATTTCTGGATGCTATGACGTTTCCATCTTGTAACCATGCTTCTCTAGCTCAGCGCTGAAAAACACAGACAAATGGACAGCATTAGCATTCTTTGTGATAAATCAGAGAAACAGCTGTTTCTAAGACATAATAATAAAGAAAGCTGAGTCACTAACTTAGAACATTACCAAAGAGCTTTATTTTAGCCCCTAAAAAGAAACCATAAGGAAACTGGGTATCAGTTAATATAGTAATTAAAAAATTTGTTTTTCCCCAATTACATTTTATTTTCATTAATTTTCTCATATATGAACCTACTTACAGAATAAATGAGACTTTCTACTATCCTCCAAGAACCTTGCAAATACTATACTAATGCCCTACTTCTAATGTACATTTAAATACAGTTTAAATACTCTTAGATTTGTCTGTTTTATGTGTATGAATGTTTTGCCTGCATATGTGTGTGTGTGTCTCACCTGTGTGCCCACTGCTCACAGAAGTCAGAAGAGGGTGTCTAATGGTTGTGAGCCACCATGTGGGTGCTAGAAATTCCATCTGGATCCTCCTCAAGAGGAACAAGCATCTACCAGTGCACCATCTTCCCAAGCTTTCAATAGGAATGTCTGTGGTTTATTTGTTTATGTGGTGATATGGACTAAAATCAGTGCCCCACGCATGCAAGGTGAGCACACTACTATTCAGCTGTAGTTTTAGATACTTCAACAAAATTTTGAGATCTATAAAGTTCACATCAATATCAAAATTTTACCAATTATACAATCAGCCCAAGCATAACTGCTATATACAGGAAGGAAACTAGTTTCTGTTCAACAAATGATGCTGGGAAACTTGGGTGTTCACATGTAAAAATGAGTTACACCCACATTATATGCAAAAATTCATTCAAAATGCTCGACCTAAAAGAGCTAAGCTATACAATTCTTCCAGAAAGACACAGGAATAAATCTTCATTATCTTGAATTTGGTAATGAGTTCCTAAATCGGATACCAAAGTATATGTAACAAAAGAAAAAATAAACTTGACCACCAAAATTAAAAATTTTGCAAATGACATAACAAAGTAAAAAAGACAACCTAGCAGAGTATCTGACAAGGTTTTAATACCAAGAATATGCAAAGTAGTCTCACAATTCATCAACAAAAAGTCCAATTTAAAAATGGAGAGGATTTCAACAGACAGACTCCTCCTCCCTCAAAACGATACATATGGTGATGAAGCACACAAAAGCCATAGTCACCAGAGAATTAAAATGGAAGTTACAAGGAGACAGTGCTTCCAAGCCTTCACTTACAAGATGGCTGCATTTACAACAGAATAAACGAACAATATCATGCTTAACCACTGCTACTGGGACAACTTTTCAGTGACTATAGACAAGTCTGACAGGTCTTCAAAAAGTTAAAACAGAATTACCATACAACCTAGAAATGTCACTTCATGTTCCCTAAAACCTGAAAATAGGTACTCAAATACACACACATGCATGTTCATAGCTGCACACTATTCACAGCATATAAAAAGTAGAAATGTCCCCAAACTGACAAATAACATAAAATACAGTATATCCTATATTAGAGAATTATTGAGTTATGAAATAGAATAATGTATTTCTATATGCTGCCATATTTCTGAATTTGGGAAAGATTATGCTAAGTGGAAGAAGCTGGATACACAAGGACATATCTTGTAAAATAACATTTATATGAAATGTCCAGAATAGGCAAATTAATACTTTAATACAATTAAGTAGACTACTAAACTCTAATCTCTAAATTTGAGAATCACTAATTGAGTTCCCCAATTAGTTCTGATTTTAATTTCTGCCCAGTTACTCAATACTGGTTGAAAATAAATGTTAAGATTAAATTCATGAAAAATAGTAAATATGCTTCTATTTAACTACCCTTTTAGAAGGAACCAAAGGTGTATGCAATTTCCTGAAATATTCCTGTTTAGAAATCCAAAGGGTGAAGGTAATACATCTTATTTTACACAATGAAAGAATCATCTCAAAAGTTTTAAGAGAACAACCATCTATGTAAGCTGTACATTCCATGTTTAAAATAAAATAAGATTCTGGCTGAAAACCTACCGTAACTGATTGGAGAAGTCATCTTCTACATTGTCGTCATCCCAATTATCCTCCCAGACATGTGCATCTTCATCTTCATCTAAGCCAGCCCAGTCTACAAATGGAAACAGATGCCTAAGTATTTCTCATACATTATTTCCAAAGAGATAAAAACTTCAGCACCCTCACAACTCAAACAAAACAAAACAGCTAACACTTTACCTAAGAAAAACTGAAATCTTCCTCTACAAATCTCAAAGCTTTTGCTATCTTGTTCTCATTTCCTCCATAGACAACAGGGCAGCTGCACACAATAAACTCAAAGTGACTTTGTCAGCACACACCAGCCTCATGCAAGCTCGGATCAGGTCAAATCCCAGCATGGAGAGGGGATGTGGACATGAGTTCCTATGCCTGGCTGAGGAGCTGTTCTGAGAGTTAAGAGTCAGGTTTTCTTTAAGAGCCTATAGTAAGTAAGTTGATCGTGTTCCAGGGGAAGGCCAAACATTCAGAATATATGGGAAGCACACACTGGACTTGATGGTTTGGAGGGAAAAAAAGACACAAAGTTGGGTGGGTAGGGAAGAGAGCTGGATCTGGGAGGAATTTGGGGGAAGGGGTGAATATGATTAAAAGACATTGAACGAAATTCTCAAAGAACTAACGGGAAATTAATTCAAATTATAAGATACCACCAAAATTTAGCAAATAAAAATATAAAATTTAAAAGTCTTTTGTCATTTGTTTTTTGAGACAGGATCTCATACACATCAAGACCAATATTAAACTCACTGTGTTGGGGAGGAGGCCTTACAGTATTATTGATCATCCTGCTTCCATATCCCAACTGCTGAGATTACAGACACTCAACAGGAAGCCCCACTTGTCTTTTTTTTTTTTTTTTTTTTTTTTTTTTTTTCGAGACAGGGTTTCTCTGTGTAGCTTTGCGCCTTTCCTGGAACTCACTTGGTAGCCCAGGCTGGCCTCGAACTCACAGAGATCCGCCTGGCTCTGCCTCCCGAGTGCTGGGATTAAAGGCGTGCGCCACCACCGCCCGGCTCAGCCCCACTTGTCTTTTAACAGAAGAAAAAACAAATGCACAGAGGTTGCTGTTTTACTTAATTTTTTTTTCTTTTTCCTCCTTCCTTTTGGCTTTAAAGGACAGACTTAGATAGATTTCAGCTTTCCTCAGAACCAGAAAAACACATGTGTAAATCTCTCTAGATATTCTTGTAGGGGTTAATATCTATTAAGGGGTTGGAGAGATTGCTCGGTAAACTGTGCAAGCATAAGGAACTGGGTTCAGATTCCCAGTACTCACAGTAGCAAGTGCTTGTAATGGAAAGAGGATTTGTGAGTTCCTCGTTCAGTGAGAGTTGATTGAGTTAAGAAGGATACAGAAAGACTGCTGACATTCACCTCTGGCCTCTGCACATGTGTACACATATCCACATATATGTATGCATACATACACTTACAAAAGGAAGTATCTATTGCTAAAATAATACTAACAGCACAGAAGCTCTAAAACAGCTCAGTAGTCAAGCAAAGGTCTAATCAATTAGATAGCTTTACTACAACCAAATATTTAGTACTTCTATTTCAGAAAGTAAGTTACCTCCAAATTGCCTTTTCTTTATGCTTTTGAATACTAACTCATGGAATGCCTGAATTAGGAACTGCATCGCTGATCCATCCTCTATGTTAGTTTATCTTTGAGTGATGGTTCAGCAATACACTGTTGATTTCCAAATACATCCCCACTGCTGAACTACCCTTTACACCTTCTAATTCTACATATAACTGACTCTAGACACAAATCCAACTTACTGGCCTAAAGAAAGAAAAGCAAAGGAATCATCCTAAAATTCCTAAATACATGCATCAAATTCTGCTTATTTAGCCCTCCAAATAAGTCTAAAGTTGACCTTTTATTCCTATTATTTTTAATCTAGAACAAACATTCACATTAGACAGGGTAAGTCCCTACTGCTGAAGACAACATGCATTTGGGACACATGGACCAGAGGACTTGAACTGGATGAGCTCTGAAAGCTTCCTCCACTTCCCGCCTGAGGACTATATTTCATGGTACCAGAAGGCATCATGCAAACTTCCAAAGGAAGGAAGCAACCAACAGTCCTACCCAGCTATGGTGCCTATGAACCACAAGGATGACCATAACCCTAAAGTTGTAGTGGTGGCATGCATAGTTTGATGGTAAGTCAAACACTCTAATTGGACTTAAGGCTTGCTGAACTGGGGGAGGGGGGGTCATCCCTGGTACTGCAAATTTAGCCAACTACCCAGAGCTAGTGAGGTCATGGATCTTGCAGGAGAAACTATAGGTACCATTCTAAGCCAGCACAAGCCCTAACTACATTCTAAATATTTTTCCATGTACCCACATATAAGTTCTCACTCCTCATGGAAATTTCGCTTTTCAACAGATGGAGACTATTACAGAACTGGTCAAAATGCAGTGAACAAGTGATCTGGCCAGTCCAACTCATATACATCTATAACACAATTCCTACACTTAAGGTGCAGGGGTCATTTCAGAAGACAGGGTGGCAAGAATTTTTTAGCCAGAGGAATAGGAAATCTGCTGTGAGACTGTGTCTCTTAGAAATGTCAGAAGCTACAACCAACACGGCTGCCTAAACATAACCTGAACAAGGATGACACCAACAGACGTGCTAACATGGAAGGGGAAAGCTCATGAGGCCTCAACCGTAAATAAAGAACTACAGGCAACTAAAGACTGGTGAGAGCAGGAAAAATAGTGTTTCACAGGGAAGTGTACACCAGCTGGTTCCAACTGGTTACACAATACCAAATAGTCCTGAAAACACATATACAAGCGACATTATACAGAACTGCGCAGGTTGTATTTATGTATTTAAGAACACAGACACCACCACCACCTCCACCACCAGAGAAAAGAGGTCATGCATTTAAAAGACAGTTTGGAAGGAAGGATTAGAGAAGGGAAAGAAAATGAGAAATGATGTATTATATTATAATCTCAAAAAATCAAAACAAAACCCCCAAACATTTACACTATCCCCTTTTACCTGGTTCCTTCTACTTCAGATCCTGATGAAAAATTAGCCTCCTTGGGGATGCCACTTTAATCCCCTCCCCTTTTTTTTTCATTTGAATGACACCAACCTATCTCAGAAACAAGAGTATATGCCTCCAAACACCTCCTTAGGCTTATACAACCACTGTAAACCTGACTGACATATTTTTACAGGGTTGTTTTAAAGTAATATTTTTCCAGGTGTGGTAGTACACGTGTATACACACACACACACACACACACCTGTAATTCCAGCACTAAAGCAGAAGCAGAGGTTCTTTGACTCTAGAACTATATTTCCATTTCTATTTACTATAGAAAAATTCTGTAAAATTTTTTTTCAACATTCCAATCTACTCATAGCTCTTTCATGTGTGCCATGTCTTACTCACACTCATGCCTCTAGTGTGGAAACTGGACAATAAAGACTTACCTGTAAGATCTTAATGTTTAATTAGCTCCTAGTTTTACACTTCATATTTTGATATTAAAATTTTCTTTGGTGTGTGGGGTATACATGTGACTGTGGGTGGGAGTGCACATGCGCATGTGTAGACGCCCAGGTCATCAGGTGTTCCGTGCCATCACTCTCCACCTTTTTAAGGTAAGGTCTCTGACACTGAACCTGGAGCTAGGCTGGCAGCCAGCAAGCCCCAGGGAGTGTTCCTGTCTCTGCCCCGCCACAGTTCTGGGGTTACAGGCATGTGCAGCCTTGAACAACCTTTGCTATAGATGTTGAGCATTCAAACTCAGGCCCTTATGCTTACACAGTAAGCACTCTTAATTCCTATCCCACTGAACAATCTTCTGAGTGCCTGCTTACAATTTTATAAATTATCAAACGTTTGATGCTGTTCCTTATCTCTGTACCATCTTCTGAACCCATCTACTGCTTGGTTGACTTTTACTTCTGAACTTAATTCAAACACTATTTATTCCACCATTATAAAAACTACCACAGCTTCCTGAAGAAATGGTTGATTTCAAATCTGTGACATGCAAACCATTAAGCATATTAAGAGATTTATTTTTAATGCCAGAAAGCACATCAAAGCTAACAGAAACTTCCTTAAAAGAATAACATACTGAATAAGGAGGGGAAAAGCCAGTCTACTGTAATAGGACATTTCTCTCTGACCTGCCAGTTCCTGAATAACTGCTCAGAGGCTTAATATAAATAATAAATAATAAATGCTTGGCTGGTAGCTCAGGCATATTACTAACCAGCTCTTACATTTAAATTAACCCATAATTCTTATCTATGTTTATCCATGTGGCTTGGTACCTTTTTTCAGCACAACATTCTCATCTTGCTTCCTCTTCGTCTGGCTAGTGACTCCTGCCTCCACCCTTCCTCTTCCCAGCATTCTTAGTTTGGTTGCCCCAAATTGGCTACTGGCCAATCAGCATTTTACTAAACCAATTTGAGTGACAAATCTTTACAGTGTACAAGAGGATTATTCCACAGCAAAAAGAAAGTGCCAGGTACACTGACAGCCTGGGATTTCTCAGTACTTGGAAAACAGGAACTCAGGTCATTCTCAGCTACACAGCAAGTGAGATAAATCTGGGCTACCTGAGACCCTGTCTAAAACAAAACAAAACAAATTTGAGCAAGGTATGCTGAAAAATTAAAAGAAACCAGGTGGCTGTACACAATTTTACTGTGATCCTAACACATGAAAAGCTTGTGTGTGTGTGTTTGAGGCCAGCTCTACAACAAATATCAGAAGAAAAATAGATAATAATCTTTACAGTTCCACCTGTGTAAGTACAAAAAAATGACAGAAATGGTCATTTTGCAAAACTTCATTGTAACTTAGTAAAAGATCACTAACCAGTATTAAAATTATGGAGTAAAAATGGGTGGTTTATAGGACAGGCTGCTTACTCATTATAAATTGTGAGACATAGCCATTGTCACCATAGCCAAGTGAACAAACAGCACATTACCACTAAGTTAGGACAATTTAGCATGTGATTCTTAATGAAAGCAGTAGGAGATACTCATCACCTCAGTAGAACTCTGG